TGAATGCGGACTGCCACCGCGGCTAGCATTGTGCCAGTCAGAAGGCATGATAACCCGTACAAATTCATTGTCATCCGCTACTGGCAACTCATCCGCTATTTTATGTCTGCCTGTACAACCAAAATTAATATTAAGCCATAAATTAACCGGATCAGGAAACTTCCCATCAATATACTTACAGCTATAACCGCACTAAGTTTGATTCATATTTAGATCGTAATTGGACATGTCTGTTATGAAATTGCAACAAGCGTGATAGTCGTATGTCCAACAGTTCCTCGATCGAATCCCCAGTGAGAAATCTCAGCAAGGACGGCAGAATAGCAGTGTATCCATGTATCATTACGGCCTATGTAAGGCCAAAGAGTAACATGAACAAGAGCGGACTGCAATCGGACCAATCCCATAGTGTCCTTCAGGGGTTAGAATGCCGACTGGCCTTCCAACTCATCACGCGCAGGGCCTTTGGGTGTGTCGGTAGTACAGCGGGGGAACGAGTCATCAGAGTGGGGTACGGGAGAGTCTCCGTGATAGAACAGGGGAGCTGGAACGCCTAAATCACACGGTTCTAACATTAACACTAACCCAAACCTTAATCGTGCTCCCAGCGCTACCAATCTTATTCTTAAGTCTAACCGTAATTTCCTTGGAATTTAGCGCAAAGCTTCCTGTGCTACGCGGCGTTCCTACTCTGCTATCCAGCCGGGTGCTGGGGCAATGGCCTCATAAACCATATCTACCCACTTTTTTCTCAAGTCTGACACCGCTGGGAAGCTCTTGCATGTCATTTTCTGCAATCTGGTGTTCTCACTGAAACCAATTCTGTATTCCTTCAGATGCATTGCGTCAGCATAAGCGCACATCAAAAAGCTCTCGCAGAGGCGGAGAAGCGCCTGGACGAACTGAAGGCGCTGGGCCTGAAAAATGTGAACACTAGTCAACTGGAGGCTGCTATTGCAGAAACAAAGGAACGCATAGCGGTACGTCCCCCATTGAGATTTCTGAACTACAGTTCTGCTGTATTGTTGTCCAGTTCTCGTTCTTCTTATTAGGCCGCCGTAGTTGCCTACACAACTGACCATAGCCTTAACAACTTTCCCTTCTTGAATGGCCTTGACTCTAGATCATGCTTGAGGCTGCAAGGAAGCGGGAGGAACTGCTGTTGTCGCAAAACAAGGCCCAAGATAATGTGAATTCTGCCTTAGAAAATTTCGAAGTATGGTTGGACGATTCTGACAATCTCCTCGACAGCAGTCGTCAGGCTATTCTGGGTGAAGGACCGTCTCTCGACCTGGCCAGCCTCGAGCGAAAGTTGGCGCTTCAGGAGGCCTTTTCAGAGAACCAGTCAGAGGGCGAAAAGCTGTTTGAGCTTGCTACCAGTGCCTTCGATGACATGGTAAGTTTGTGGCCCAAAGTGACTCCCGCGGAAATGCTGAATTCGGAAGTCTTTTCGGGCATTCATGATACAGTCAAGCGGATGGAGTCGGCCCGTGAACGTTACGAGGTAAGCAACACAATATCCGCAACACTCGCACTACTGTTTTATATTTACTTCCTCGTTTGTGGGTTCACTTTTTGGTTAGACTTCTAAAAATAACACATTTAACACGCGATTTCATTAAATTTATTTCACGTAATTAATGAACGCTTTTTTAATTGTATCCAGTCTTTGCTTCGGAGGGCACAGACGGCCGTGCTTGCTCTTCGTTTTGTCGTCACGGACAAGCGCATAGAGGCGAAGTTGAAAGAGGCCTCGGAAAAGTTGAGAATCGAAGAAGTTCGTATCGAGAATGGAGAGGTTGTTACGGACATCTTAAACGATCACGAGGTAACCCGCATTTTACACATTTCATAAACTGTTTCTCTACCTCCAGGCACATACTGCCGTGTTATGCATGGTTGCTAAGAAGTAGAGTAGCTTTTTTACACCGCAAACGATCCTTCCTTCGGTACTATTGAAAGATGCAATTTACTACAGAATTCATAGTAGTTAAGGTGCACGCTTTTGCTAAATATATTTATATTTTTAGGGGTATCTAAAAGAAATGGCAAAAATACACGCAACTTAAGTAGCACTTTTAGTGAGTGTGGGTTTGCAGGTGGTTGGAAAAATGCACCTTCGAGGGCTGGAATCCTGATTTTTGCTGAATGGCAATCAATAATGCAACCCCATTTAATTAACTCTTTCTAACTGGAAACGCATATCAGAAACTCGGAGAACATTTATAGATTTGCATCATTCACTGCACATGAAGCCAAGACAAACCAGTAGAGGATCGTTCCAGACCTCCCTTTAAAATAATTACTACACAGGGTACAATCACACATGTGCACCAAAAACGGTAGCGGAGACGGAGAAACCCGCTGTTTCGAACTTTTCCTATGTTCTTCAACCAGTCATGCCTATAACCAATGCCTACAGTAATACCACTCCTACTGTACGTCTGGTCCACGAATAAGGCCCAACTGATGAATCTGGAGCCCCGTGGGACCGAAATGTGCAGAGCACTAATAAAATGCACCACATTTAAATCATCCGAGGCATCCAATTCAGTCATTCTTATTTTCTTATAGATAATTTTACCCTTGTTAGACACTTTTCTTTCTCTTTTCTCGCTAGGAATATTTTACAAGTGACCTGATGGAAAGGGTTCCTGCAATGCTGAGCGATATGAAGCAGATAACTGAACAGTTGGTCGAACTGGAGTCTGAATTCGTTGAAGATTTTGCGAAACGAACTGAGGTGCGAAGTGAAACCTTCTTCATTGTGACTGCGCGCGCTGAAAAGTTGGCGAAAAATATGCGTTTCCTGCCCGATCGATGGCTCGACTTCGACGCCAAGTGAGCTTCATACAGGACTTAAATTGCTGAAAATGTACTACTCGGTGTACTTTAAAGAACACGATTTGTTTTGAATTTTATTTAAGGCTATCCGGGCTGGTTAAATGGACGAACGAGTTGGAGAGTCTGGCTGGACGCCTTCGTGAGGAGGGCGCAGCGGGCGAACAGGAACTCCTGGAGGCCAGCGTGGCTGCAGATATAGCCGCCCGATATCGTGCGATGTTGATGCGCTTTGAGGAACTGGCCGACTCGACTGATCAGAATGTATCGATGGCGGAGCGACTGAACAACATCCTCACTGAACTGCTTGCCGAAGGCGGACTTCCCCCCGCTGCAATGGCCCAACGCCGCACTTCTTTGGCTCGTGTACTGAATAGTCTTCACGATCTTAAGGCGGATGTGCATGGCGTCCTCCAGTCAGGTTCGTTGTTGTCACTGTTTCTCCTAAATGTTGTAATTCGCCTCGAAAATGTTTTGAGCCCTCGCACCGACAGCCAACAACGGTATTTTTGTGTATACAACTTGTTTCTCTGAAATTTAATTTTTTTAATATTTGTAATTTGACTTATATTATTTGTCCGCTTTGCTTTCCACGAAAGCTATATTTTTGACGGGTTCATAACCGTTTCCACATAAATGGTATGTCCCGATGAAAATTTATCGAAAGGTTGCGTACACTCACCAACTGCTCGTCTGAGTTCCGCTTTCCATTGGAATTCCGATAAGACAGATTGACATGTCTCCGGAGAAATTTTATGCCAGTTAACGTCTAACTTAATCGCTTAATTTATAAAAAAAAGTCGAGCCGGACCTCGATTGATTAAGTTCTCAGCAGAGGTTCAAGCTTCGATCAGTTTTCAAGTTGTTTTGCTTTCGGTTTGGTCAGTAAGCTTGGCACCTG